CGGTATTATCACTTGCCTCAATCATGGAAACATCCGTGGGGTGAGCATAGCGACAATCGTTTTCCCCACGGGTACAATTTCCACGCTGGAATTCTCGGCAAACCTTAAATTAAAACAAAACAAAAACACACATCACATTGATGCCTGGAAGGTGATTAGCTTTTATTTATTTCGCCAGCAAATGCAAGAGCAGTAGTCTACATGATTTTGTCATCTATTTAGGAAAAACCTAAAAAGCTGAAGGATAAGGTAAATCCATATTCAGTGTGAGGTGTAAACACAGACATTTCTAGTCCAAGGGAAAAATACTCCGCTCCCTCCGAAGCAAAGTTGTCTGTTTTCCTTACGTTGAAATCAAAGTGCTTAAAAGTATTGTGGAAAACCACTTAATAATCTTCCAGTTAATTCACAGCCTGAAGTGTAATTAGCCAAATTTGCAAGAGGCGGCTGTTTTGCTCGACTCCAAGATGAGTCTTTATCACACAGCCATGCAGTTTTCCCCAGCAAAATCGTGGCTCACGACTGAGCTACGTGTACAATCAGATTCTATTACGATACACTGCCAGGCATTTAAGTCAGCGAATGACTTTGACTCTGTATGAAACGGACTAGCTATTTCTTTCAATCTATGAAGCATAACAAGGGAAGACTGAAGGACTTAAATCAAAACGCTGTTTGAAGTTTCTTTTAGATTGCCTTTTCATAGGCAGGGAGGATATTTATTATCTAGTCCATCATTCTTAAGATGGAGAAAAAGGTTTAGATTCTATGATACTCATTTCACATTCTGCATTCATAGAGAGTTAGTCTACTTTTTTTTTTTTTCCATCCCTCAGTTGGATTATTCTAGCAAGTTGAGACTCATTAACAATACAGTTCATCGCAGTCCGTCAAGCGGGAGCCTGGGGAAAAGGAACGTTCCCACCAGGTTTCCGGTTCCACAGCGAGTCTGCGGTTGGGCACGCTAAGATATTGTTTGACCTGTTGTACGACCAAATCAATGCACTTCACAGCAGGGTGCGACTGCAGTAGTAAAACCTTTACCGTTTTCCCGAGGTTGTACTCCATAAGCTAGAAATCCAGGTGCCCTTGTTTAAAGCATTCAAAACCCTGGGCTCTGAGAATGTTGCTTTGTGCATGCGGTTAATAGCTACCCTATAGGTATTTACATAGTTCTACACCAATACCTCCAGTTTATCCGAACGCATCAGTTTGGGACCAGCAGCTGCTGGCAATGCGAGAGGCGGGTTTCCAGAAATCAGAACAGGTGCATTCGGTAC